GTGGATCAAGAATCAAGAATATTCTTCAGGATTATTTAGGATTTTCAAATCATCGTCGATTTGAGGTGAAAATTTGTATAAATATTGTAAGAATAAATATAATTGATAGTGGTGTAATATTCAAATGATTAGCAGCCGATATTAACATTGATGGTTCAATCATTTGTGGTGGTGGTCGATCAAAATATGAACAACGACGATCATATGCATCATCTAATGGAATGTATGATATATTTGTTTCTGGATCAATTTTAATATTTCTTGGTGGTTCACAACGCATATAACGTCCTTGATCATTATAATAACCATAATGTCCCATACGACCAAGATTACCAACCATACGGCCTAATTTATAACCACCATATGCACCAAGTGCAGTACCGGCTAATGCACCAAAACCAGCTGTACCAATACTACGGCCAATATTAAGACCTTTACCTTTACGATAACCACCACCGGTACCGAATCCACTTCCACCGAATCCACCACCGCCATAATGATTATTGCCAAATGTATTTCCAGTACCGAATGGTCGATTTTGATCTTTTTTTTCGATTTGAACGCAGAGAGAGAGAGAGCGAGAGAGAGAAAAGGGTTAACAAAATCAAAAACTATTACAAAAAAATACTTACATCCAGGATAAGAAGGATTTTGGGCAGATTGTTGTGGATATCTTGGATAATTTGATTGTTGTGGATAACCAGCAGCACCACCACCACGACCTGTATTTAATCCTGGATAAGGTGGTGGTGGACCAGCTGGATAACCACCACTTGCACCATGTGATGATGATCCTGGATATGGTGGTGGTGGACCAACTGGATGACCACTTGATGATCCTGGATAATTTGGATTATATGCTGGTTGTTTTGGATAAGGATTTGAACCACCAGAACTAGGATAAGATGGATTAGATGATGGTTGTCTTGGATACGGATTTGATGATGATGATGGTCTTGGTTTTGGTTTTGATTTTGATTTACCACCGAAAATTGATTTCATTTTTAATTTACGTTTAACAATATGATGTTGATCACCTTGTTGATAATTAAATTGAAATTGTTCATTTTGTTGTTGTTGTTGTCTGATTGCATCATCATTATTATTATTGGGATATCCATCAAATTGCTGCAATGAATCAATAATCATTTCATTGATCAACAAGAATATTAACAATGAACAAATGAATGGATGATAATATCGATGAAATGACCATCGTTGTCTTCGTAATTTTGTTGAATACATTTTTTTTGCTTAATTACATTTGAAGCCGAAAAACGATTAGAAACGCACACTTTTAACGTACCAAATCTAATGCAAAGATGGGAAAAAAGACAATGATAAAATACGATTTTTAGAAAACCAAAAAAAAAGTAATTCTTTAAAGTTAGTTTTTTACATTAGCAAACGTCGCAATTCAATCAATTGATTAGTTATCGATTTTTTCTCTGGATCAGCTTGGACAAACTTTACATGAAACACATAAACAAACAAACGAAAATTGTGAAAGAAGAAAAGTGAGCTCAGTCAGTGAAAATAAAATCAATGAATGATGATAATTCGAGTATCCAAATGCGTAACTTAACGTAACGTAAAAATACTGAAGCAGCAGTAGCAGCATTGGTAACTATTCACTTCATGTTGGATATTTGTGTGTGTGACGTAAGTAAACTAACCAAACTACTCCGTGTTAAAAAAAATCTTCAGCTCGTTCAGATTGAAGAAGACGAAAAAGTATATAGAGAAAATGACAGTGAAAGACTCTATCTTTTTCTTCAAATCATCATCATCATCCATATTAGTCATACTGTGAATCAAGTTTGGGCGCCAAGTGTAATACAAATGAAATACGTTCTTTACGTTGTTGTTATCGCTATATAATACATGGAAAAATGGATGCCTGGGAAAAATTCTTTATTTTTGATGTTTTCGATGAAAACATCATCAACAACAACATTGACGTCATGATGATGATGATGATGTTTTCGAAGAATAAAAAAAAAGAATCCGGGAATTTTTTAAAAAAACATTGTAAAAAAGGAGAAACTATGGATTCTGTTTTAGAAGAAAAATTCTAGAAAAAAAATTCTATGCAGAAACTACATCCAGATGAATAATTTAATTATTGAAATTCTGGAATTTGAGATTTGCGAAAAGAAAAACTTTCCAAAAAACTTACAAATTCTTTCCCTTGAACAAAAGTTCTTTCTTTCGTTTGATTTGATTTTGATTTGAAAAATGATTCTACCATTCAAAACAAAGATTCTGATATCGATACTGATGATCTTGATTGGAAAATTTCCTACAGCAAATGCCTATGAAGATGGTTATGAAGAAGAAGAAGAAGAAGAAGAAGAAGAATCAGATAATATTGTAAAAATGATCGATAAAAAAATAGAAGATTATCAAGAATATTTATTTTTAGAACAAAATGAAGATTTACAAGTAGAATTAGTTAATCGTGAAGAATGTATTTGTTATGTACCTGAACCAGGTATTTATAATGGTTTGGATTTGAATCGTTATCTTTTTCCATATCATCCATGTAAATTAAATCTATATATTTGTGATAAAAAACGTTTATTACAAAAACCATTATTATTTATTGATTGTTCTAAACAGATTGGTTGTTATTATCAAGAAAATTTAACCAATTGTGATTGTAGTAAACGACAAAAACTATGGGGTTCCAATGTTTGTGGTAATAGAATTTCAAAGAAAAATTGTTTTAAAGAATTACGTTATAAATGTCATTTTAATCAGAATAAAGCCGAATTGATTGGAATGTGTTAATAATTTTTTTGTTTTGTTTGTTTATCGCTCCAATAAAGGATCAATAACATTAATTATATCCTGATCGTTTGTTAATTGTTTTATATATGCCATTCTTGTTGGTTTATTACCATTATCATCATTGGATTCGTGCCAAATATTATAACCATCTGATTGAATTTCCATTCGACCATATATTAAACGATAAAATGGTTTATAACCATTAATAGCAATTAATGCAGCAATTTCATCAAAACAAGCTTCAGTTAAATTTTGTTCCATGGATATTAACCATGCTTTACGTACTGGACTATTTTTCAATCGTGAATTCTGGATAATATTTTGACCACAAAGTAAATGTTCACCTGTTTCAGCACCAGCAAATATTATTTTGGTTGGCCATTTTTCTACAACTTTCCGTGCTGCTTTTGGTTGTTTTTCAATATTCCATTCTTTACCTTCCGGATATTTTCCTGCCATTGCAATCATTTTTTGAACTTTTTTTCGTATTAATTCTCGTCCATTTAATGGTGAATATTCATCACTTTCGGTATCTAAAAGTTCGGCAAGATTTGTAAAAAAACCAATCGATAAAATTATAACATTATTATCCTTGGATGCGGCTAATAATCTTCGATATAATGTTATTGCATTTTCAGCTTGATCATTACGTTCAAAACGTGGATGTGGATAATTTTCTCGGACATAATCTGGCCAGGTAAGATTTTTACCTGAATCAAATGCATTCGGGTCTTTTGTTATACCGATTGGGATTCGTGAACGATTAAAATAATTTGTAATTGCATCAAGAACCGGTACGATTCCTTCATAACGATCATTAGCCATCATTGCAAGAATTCGAGTTTTATTTTGATCAGCAAAACTATTTATCATAGCTATGGCTGTAACATCATCTGGATATTGTCCACAATCAGTATCGATAATAATATCAGGTATATTCGGGATTTGTTGTTGATCAGAAGAAGAAGAAGAAGAAGCATTTGATTGTAAACTCATTAACAACAGCAGAATCAACCATATTGATAGAAACAAAATAAGAAAATATTTCGGTTGTTTTCGTTGTTCAAACATTTTTGTTTTGTTTTTCTCTAATTAAGAATTTTAGAACGAAACAATTTTTTTTTTTTGGTTGAAATAAAACTCAAATTTGAAACTAAAAACAACAACAACAAACTCTAATTGATTGATTGATTGATTAATTTCCTTTTGTTTTGTTTTTGGTTTTTGCAAATTAATCAATCAATCGATCGATCGATCGATCGATCGAACAACAACAACAAAATGCTTCTATCTTATGATAAGAAAATTGCGATTATCAACATCATTATCATTGAGAAACATTGAAAAGCATTTTTTTTTTTTTTTTTTTTTTTTTTAAAAAAAAAAAAAATTTAAAATTAAAAATTTTTTTTTTTTTAAAAATTTTTTAAATTTTT